TGTAATAATAATAGACAATATCACTGTTTTACTGTATTTTTAAAAAACATATATTTTTTTTTATAATGCAGTCTTGGTGAGAGTTCTTTCAAAAACTTAATCTTGTTATAAAAAACAAGTATATTCAAGATATCAATATTCAATCCTACAATATGAAATATAAATGTTTGACCAAAATATAGAAGATGAGGTGAGTGTTTGATGAGGTGAGTGTTTGTACGTCATTATTTTGGTATCTGTCTTCCTGTTTTCTGCTCAAACGGATGTTAATCGGGACTGTCTGCTCTTAGATGTTATGCGGAGACTCTCTTGGTGTTTATGAAGTGAGATGGGGACAAAAAGCCTGACGGGACCTTCTCTGCAACGGTCAAATGACTCAAGAGAACTTTTCAGACTCCAAAATGGCTTTTCTTCTTCCTTCCAGCGTGTCTTGAGCGGGGTGTCCTTGGTCCTTTTGTGGCCAGTCGTCAAGGGAGTTTTGTCTTTTGATGGTGAAAGAGACCACACACAATCTGATGCTGTCATCAGTAATTGGTTGCCTGCCCAGAGGACCCTCCTAGCTGCCATTCTTCTTTATCTCTTCACTCTTATCAGTCCTTTTTCTCCTGGAGTGTCAGCAGGGCACTAGATGTGTGTTCATACAATTGGAGGGCACTGCGGCAGTGATCAACCTTGGTCTTTGTATCGCCAGGAACATTATTTTCAACTGAAAGGTCTGAAGTAACCTTTGCACCCAAAAAGCTGTTAAGTCAGGTGAGCTCTAAAAGAAAAATATAAGACAACAGTTGATCAAACAGTGTGACCAGAGCAATGAGATTTCTATTGGAACATAAACATCATACTTACAGAATAAAATTAAACTGAGATTTGTATTAGAAACATCATATTGAATTAAATAATCAAATGAAATGAAAAAAGGCCTAATATATAACAATAAAATTTGTAAGTGTCAGATATATTGACTCCAGAATAAAGATAAGTTGATTTGTTTGGGATGGAGGAAGTGCAGGAGGTGTCAGTGAGGCAGTACGTACCTCATAAATCAGTCATGGCATCTGAGGCCAACCCCGAGCTAGCCAGACTGAACTGCTGAAAAATTCACTTTTATTTTCTACAGCTTTTGAAATCGTAAAGTTTGTTCCTCGAGTCATCGTTTTAATTCGTTTTAATGGCATGTAAGGTCAAAGTCCTCATTGTGAACTGTCCCTCTGTTACAGTGAAAGCAAGCGCAGGGCTGATTCGCTTTGATGGATTATAGTAATTTTAATAATGGAGCTAAATTTGGACAACGTCAACATGAGTCCCTCCTGTATCAAAAGTCAGTCAGAAAGAGCTTTATTGCCAAGTATGTTTGCACATACAAGGAATTTGTTTTAGTGTCACAAGCTTCCAGTACACAGAGACAACAACACACAGATAATAAAAATAAGATGTGAATAAAATACACATATGTATAAATATAAATAAACCACAAAAAAAAGAATAAATATGTACAGGTGTGCTATAGATCAAATAGAATATGAATAGAACAAAAAATAAAGTTGTAGGAATGTACTAGGATGATAAATAAGTATAAGGTTATTGCACATATTTTTATTGCACAATAGGAGAACATTTAACTGTTTATGCGGTAGATTGCCTGAGAAAAGGAACTGTTCTTGTGCCTGGCTGTCCTGGTATTCGGTGCTCTGTAGCACCGACCAGATGGCAAAAGTTCAAAAAGGAGATGGCTTGGATGTGAGGGATCCAAAGTGATTTTCTGAGCCCTTTTCCTCACTCTGGATGTGTATAGTTCTTGGAGGTGGGCAGGGGAGCACCAATAATCCGTTCAGCAGTCCGAACCATTCTCTGTAGTCCTCTGATGTCTGATTTTGTAGCTGAACCAAACCAGACAGTTATTGAAGTGCACAGGACAGACTCAATGACGGCTGAGTAGAACGGTTTCAGTAGCTCCTGTGGCAGGTTGAATTTCCTCAGCTGGCGAAGGAAGTACAATCTTTGTTGGGCCTTTTTAACAATGGAGTTGATGTGAGTGTCCCACTTCAGGTCCTGAGAGATTGTGGTGCCCAGAAATCTGAATGACTCCACTGCAGCCACAGTGCTGTCCATGATGGTGAGTGGGGGGAGTGCAGGGGGGTTCCTCCTGAAGTCCACAATCATCTCCACTGTTCTGAGTGTGTTGAGCTCCAGGTTGTTAAGATTGCACCAGACAGCCAGCTCTTTAACCTCCTGTCTGTAAGCAGACTTGTCTCCATTCTGGATGAGGCAGATGACTGTAGTGTCATCCGCAAACTTCAGGAGCTTGACAGAGGGGTTTTTATATGTGCAGTCGTTGGTGTACAGGGAGAAGAGCAGTGGGGAGAGGACACAACCCTGAGGGGCGCCAGTGCTGGTGGTGTGGCTGTTGGATGTGAATTTACCAATTCTCACTAGCTGCTGCCTGTCTGTCAGAAAGCTAGAGATCCACTGACAGATAGAGCTAGGAACAGAGAGCTGGGTTAGTTTGGTCTGGAGGAGTGTTGGGATGATGGTGTTGAAAGCGGAGCTAAAGTCCACAAACAGGATCCTCACATAAGTCCCTGTTTTGTCCAGATGTTGCAGGATGTAGTGCAGTCCCATGTTGTCCCATTTGAGACTGTATTATCGTCTCAACAAATACATAAGATTATCTGTCCCTCATGGGCCATGGCCCTATTCTAGCTGTTACTTGGCTCACTGATGTTTAAGAAGTTCAGACATTAAAGGTGATGTGTATTTTTTCAAACAGGTTTTGCAAATACGGTCTTATAACGTACTGTCAAATTAGTGAAATTTCACGTGCAGAATCATTTTATTGTAAATAGTGTAACGATGTACGAAGCACAGCTCACACAGAAGTCCCTTTCAAACCAAGCAGCTTCATGTTTGTCAATGCAACTTTAACCTGTTGCGCAATTGATTCCTACTGAAATTACTGTATTTCATCAGCGAAAATACACAAATGTTTTAAATTTTCTATGCAATCAAACATATGGAAGATCGTTTTTGCCATGAGATAGAAAAATAAAAAATGTCATTGTGACTCTAGTTTGTATTTCACAGTCCTGTGTTTATATCTCACAATTCTGTCTGAAAAAAAATTGCAAGAAAAAAAGCTTCCATAGAGATGCACTATTCGCAGACACCGTTAATATATTCCAACAGTGAAAGTTTCCAAAAAATAGGGGATACCAAGATAAATCTTGTATAGGCTGATTTTGTGCTTTCAAAATGGCTGCCCCATGTGGCAACCTGCTCCATATATATAAAGGAAACTTTTATTAGGCTACTAACAAGACTAGAGTTTCTTTATGTCATCTCTTTTCAAAAGTACGATTAATTTATCTACAAAACTTTTTAAATGAAGAACAAATTGCTTTTGTGTGGCTTTAAATCCTTTTCTAAATGAATATTGCCCTCTATTACATTGTGACTAACTACATTTAGTATGATTGACGACAATTATCTCACTAGCTAGATCTGTTATCCGTGTACATGAGACAATATGCTAAGCACATTGTCCCAGACAAGAAAAAGAGCAGGCCGGAATGAAATGACGGAGAGTGACGAGAGCAGAAGACTAGTGGAAAGCAGGAAATCGCCAGGGAAACAGAGGTGACAGGGACTGTGAGAAATGTGGCTAAACTAACTCTCAGTTAGGACTGAGAAGAACAAGCTGGTAAGTGAAACATTTACTCAGTAGTCGCTAGACTTGTAGATCCTGAAGGTCAATGAAGATACTCCAGAGAATCTGTAGAGAAGATCAATTAAACGTGTAGAACTTAATGACATTTGAACTACTAATTTTAACTTTCTATAATGTAGTAATGTTAGTTACTGTTCTTAATGAATGTTATTAGGTAGTGTTAGAGAGAAAAGCTCATTTTTTTATAACATTTTCGAGTTGTAGAACCTAGTTGAAGATGATTCCTCGACATAGTAGATAACTTAACTGGAACGTTTCATTCTGTGCCTCAAAAATTGTGAGCTACCTATTCAACATTTTTAGGCATTGATTTATAGGTACCTTCGGGGAAAGCATTTTTGCCTTTTACTTAATGCAAAAATACTGGGTAGTTCACACAAAATTAAAACCATTTACTCACCCTCATGCTGTTCTGTGGAACACGAAATCAGATATTTTGAAAAATGTCTATTCAGTGAAAGTCAGTGAGGTCCAGTTTGGTTGTGGATGCCAAATACCTTAAATGGGGTCCAATTTGGTTATGGATGTCAAATACCTAAAGTGTATGTGCAAAAGATTCTTCAAAATATCTCTTTTATGTTCCACAGAAAAAAAAGTCATACAGGGCTGGAATGACATGTGGGTGATTAATATGGCCATTTTCACTTTTGGGTAAATTATTCCTTTAAATGAATTGGAAAGAACAGACTGTACTGAAGCATAAAAATACCATAATATGTTTGCAGATATTTAGGAAACATGCGGAGTTCACATACTGGTTTCTAAGAAAAACAGAAACGGCTAGTTCTTCTACTTTGAAATGTGCATTCCGTGTCAGAATGTTTTGTTTTGGTCTGTGTGATTCTGCCCACTGCCAGTTTACCCAAAAGTATTTTGACCCACCAGGTTGCCAGTTCACGGAACATACAGCATATTGCAGCCATGGAAGCCAGCAAACAGACAGGGTCAGACATCGAAGATTCTAGCCTCAGCATCCATATAAAAAGCTCTATGACCAGAGGCATATTAAAACAACTTACATCAACTTATAGTGTAAGGCTCATCGCCTTCCATTGTCAGTTCCGTTCGTTCTTTTTGTTTGTCTTCAATCTGGCAACCTGTGTCTGCCACTCGATTCTGGACTTAACTGTTCTCATAGAATTACAATGAATATTTAAACTTTACATTTATCATAACTGGCGTAAACGGGTGTTTGAAAACAAGACTTTAAAGGCCTGTTAACATCAAGAACAATAACTATATTAGCATACACATGCTTTAAATGCACCAGCTCTTTAAAACTGGTTCATTTATAGTTATAGTTCTTGTTCTCGGTGTAAACGGCTTTTCAAAAAATTTGCGTCGACTTTGAGAGTCCACTTAATGTACTTAAGCCAGGTCAGCAGTTGAACGCGGATGATAAATGAGGCTGTTTACTGTCCTCCGGTCATGCTTTGAGATGCTGCAGCCTTAATTGCATTACCTAACTGGCCTGAGTACTTGCTCATGTCTGTTATTAGAAGTTCACCAGTCAACCATCTCACCAGACAACCCAAGTCTAATTCACCAAAGCACTTGGTGAATAAATTAATATACCAGAACTGAAAGAATGAGATTATACTTAAGGAGCCAGGCAGAAACGTGATGTCTTAGTTAGTGTGATTTATGACCAGAGGTGCCCCATAAGCTCAATTCATGCGAATTATGCATAGAGTGAATCAGCTGCAGTGGGAGTCTGACTCGTTTTTGGCCTCGTAATTAGCAGAGAGTGAATCAGCTGCAGTGGGAGTCTGACTTGTTTTTGGCCTCATAATTAGCAGATGGTGAGTATGGATGCATAAAATTTTCATTCATGAATGTGAGACTGCGAATGAGCTCATTTTCTTGCAGCAAATGGAAGAGATTCGGTGCGCCATCTGATGTTACCATCTTCTTGCTGGGTGGGTAAAATACCAATTTAGCCCATCACAGGCTTTACAATGCAGCCTATAATTGGAGACATTGTTTGCCCTCTCATGGCAACATAGTTGTCGTTCCTGCAGTGTTTTTGTCAGTGTGGGAACAGGCCGAACCTATTATTAGGCAGATGGGATAAATATGTAAGTTTACAGTTGGTATCAGATGTGTGTGGGATCAAGTTGTGATGCCGTCAAGGGTGCAGCTTGTGAGCGAGACAGCTTGAGTCAGAATTCTGGGAAGCATTCGTGCATAGGAAACCAAGATGAGCGCTGTTTGAATGTGTCAGCATCTGATACAGGCATCTGGTTAACTGCATCTTAACTGCCATTTTCGCGATTATCAGATACCTCTGTGCGCGAGCGTAGCGCAGCCATCGGTTCACCAGGAAGTCTCATGTCAGGCTGCACATCAAAGGAAGTGTACTTGTTTGTGTCGTAGACGTTCTGTGTGGCTTTCATTATGACACAGGCATCGATATAAATGAGTCCCCGCAGCTGAACCATGTAAACAACTGGCTTTGCGGTTGTTTCGCGTATTCTTTGCGTCACTCTTTCGGTGTACCTTGTGGGAATTTGTGCCTGTAACGTGACTTGATCTCTCACATTTGTTCTAGCACGTGCCTGTCCTCATCTCAACTAAACCATGGGGTCATTACGAAAGCCCAGGCCCCGTTTCATGAGCTCGCCTGTGCTGTCCGACCTTGCCCGCTTTCATGCCAGCTCGCCAACACTGCAGCTGTCCAACGCTAGTGTTTGGAACAGGTGGGTGGTTCCCTTTCCCAAGGATGAGAGAGAGAAAAGGCATTGTTTCATTAATTGCCATGAGATTTGAGGGGTTTTTATAGACACAACCGAGAGTTTTTAAAGATAAAGTTCATTCAAAAATGACAAAGCTGTTAATCGTTAACTTCAAAAACTTTTTAAAATATACTTTCCATAGTCAATTTTATTTTTACATTTATCATGAATTATTAATTTATTAATATTATTACATTTTTGGAGGAGTCGCACCACATGACATTTTACATCCTGAAGCTGATCTTAGCTAAGCTGCTCTTAAAAACACGTGGCAAGTTCATGTGAGATGGAAAGCTTTTAAATTATTTTCAAGAAAAATTAACTTATATTGTTATAAAAACATGCATGACACGTTATTACGTTATTATAAGAAATGTAATCTGTTTTTACAGTATGTTGGTTTCATATGGGTTTGAAAAACTTATACCATTTTCAAGAAAAGTTTGTATCTACTGACTGTCAGGTAGCCATTAAGTAAAAAGTAATAACATATTTTCATTATACCTTGAATACATTTACATCTTAAACATTATTTTTAAAAAGTTAATATATTCTAATCTTCAAGGTAAAAAAAGTTAGACAAATATCAAGTATTATTAATTCATAAGTGTTATTTAAAAAAAAATTTTGGTAGTTGCATCACATGACATTTTACAGCCTGAACTAACTTTATCTTGTCATAAACAGGTCAAATATTTTTAAGAGACTTGTGTTGATAAAAGCTGATAAAATATTATTAAATGTAGCTATTTTGTTAAAGTTTATTTCTAAGAAATAATAATAACAAATTATGCCAAACTACTTTTCTTTTTAATTGTTTCAATTGTTTCTTTTCAATTATTTAATGAGAACTTAATTTTTTTCTCTTATTTATTCATTATGATATCAGGACACTAACTGACATTTATGACTGTATGTCCCCCTAAAAAAATATAAAAATTAAGCAATTTTCATTTTAAATTTTCATTTTATTTCAGCAATTAAAAACATTCTCACGCATAGAGGTGATTGTAGAAGTCATTGTAGAAAAACATGAAATGTAATAAATAAAAAAATATATCCAAATAATGACAATGAAATTTTTATTTTTTGATAAACATTGATAAAACAAATTAAAAACATCTTTAGCTTTGAAATGTGCTTTTAGGAAGCCCTGAACTTTAAACTTGAGTCAAAAAGGGCGGTGTTTACGGTCACTGTACCTCTGACTCAAAAGTGAAACCTTGCTTTTTCATATATGATTTCACACTTTGCATGCCATATTTAGTCTTTAGGGGAAAACCCCTTAGAGACACATTCTTTAAGGCGTTGAAGTATAGGAAGCAGACAGCAGCCTTTGCCTTTACCACTTCCTTATGGAAATGGGACCTCTGCTGCCCCTCTCTCAGGAAGTGTAGAGCAGGATGTTAGTCAGAAGTGGTCGGTTGGATGGCGGGCAGTGAAAGTTTGCTGGCAAGCAGACAAAAACGCTGACTATAGACACTAAAACAGAGAATTTCCCTGACACAGGTGACATTGCTAGATTTTGAAATGTTTTCACAAAGTCTTTATGCATATAAAGGGATGTTTTGCATAGAATTTTCTTAGCTTGCAAATCAGTGGTCAGGCCACTTGAATGAGGCCTAGTTTCCTGATTTCTGAGTCTTTTCTGTTTTGCAGTGTACAAACGGCTGTAATTAAAGTCTTTCAAGGTGGGGGGCTACAGGCCAATGAGCTCTACACCCTGAACGAAAGCATAAGGTAAGAAAGTAATACAGAGAATTGCAGCTATGTATTCAGTTCACTTCCTATACAATGATTTCAAGTCAAGATTAGAGATTTTTGACTCATGCCAGTAGGCAATGACCCAGAATACACTAACAACCACATAGCAACACATAGCAAGCAAATGGCAACCACTCACAACACTCTAGCTTTGTGGTGGTGAGTTTTGTACAGGATTTTTACCCTTTTTAATTGAGAAAAAGTCAAACGTTTTTGTTTATGAGGGTGTGTGTAACTAACTGAGCATTTTACCTGTTTTATCAGGTGGCTTTTGAGGACTGAGCTGGGATCATTTATCACTGAATACTTTCAGGTAATATAGTTTTCAGTTCTGAAGACATAATGAAGTGAATTTCAAAAAAATAGTTGAATTTGATGTGAAATTATTCTAAAGAGAAATTAAAAATCGTAAATATTCCAGGTTCAACCCAGCTAACAAAAATACATTTTAAGACCACTTTGCTAACTTTTTTAATGTTTTAAAAATTTTCATGAATGAAAATTGTATGCATCCATACTCACCATCTGCTAATTACGAGGCCAAAAACAAGTCAGACTCCCACTGCAGCTGATTCACTCTCTGCTAAAAACTTTTTTTCTTGGTTAAACATTTTGCAAACATTATGGAATTGTTAGTGTTGAATGTTTTCTGAACATTCTGAAATGAGTAGTAACATATAGGGTAAACATACCTATTAAGCTCACCAAAATCTATATTGAGACATTTTTAGTGCACAATATATCGGTTTCAGTACAGGAAGTTATGTTAAAATAAAATATTAATCTCTCACACAAATTTTTTTTATTTTATTTTAAATGACAAAAGCATTTCAATTAAGATATACATCATTAAATGCAAAAAGTCCGGCTGTGCTTAATGGGTACATTTTTGTACCTTTTAAGCACACCCCTGTTCCCATTAAGCTCACATCATGTTTTATTAAAAATTCTTGTTTATTTTAAACAACCTTTTTAAAGAATACTTTAAAAATGTTTTATTTGAAGGTACAGAATCAATCACAAAAAAACTGAACACTAAAATCAAGCAATAAGGCATTCAATTTGATCTGTTACATATTCATAGTGAAGTGTCACAGAGTAACGCTGCGTGTTTCTAAGCATTTCAGGGGACCTTTAAGCAACATCTAGACTAGTCCACGTTCAGCTACTGTAAGTAGTACATATTCAAAAATAAAATAAAACAAACCAATAAAAAATTTCATTCATGGGGATGAACACAGAAACTAGCCTCATTATGAAGTCTCTTATTAAACAGATGTCAACTTGTCTATCGTCTCTTAAGGCTGGAATACACTACAAGATTATTTGCCCTGATTTTACACCGATTTACAGTCCGGAGAAGTTTATGCTAGTTGCCAAAGGTCAGAGCCAGTCTGCAGATTTGAGTCGACTGATTCCATAGAAAACCCCATAGTGTATGATGGTCACAGACTCCGATTTTGTAGCTTCAGACTTTGATTCCATCCAGTCGGAGGAGATCAAACATGTTTGATATTTTCAGCAGATTTTAGAACGCATATTGTTTTCATTTGTCATGTGTCTCCTAGCAATAATGCACACATTTCTGTGCGAGTTTGTTGTGATCGGAAGGAATTTAAAGTCTGCAAGTGTGAGATCCTCAGTCGTTTAGTGTATGATGCCCTTTGTGTATGTGCCCTTTTTGTTTTCTTTTGTGACTATTTACAAAATCTGTAAGTGTATGATGTCTGGTGTTTTAAAAATCTGTTCACAATTTAAAAGTTGTTTAGTGTATTCCAGCCTTTAGTCGCTTCTTTCCTGGACGGATCCGACAGATTTCTGATTGCTCCGTCTTTGTATGGACGACATGCCTCTTTCATCTTTGGGCATAAACTATAGTTCTGTCAAGACATGAGAATGAAATAAGAAACTTAGCAGGAAATGTTGCTTAATAATATATTTATGGGGGAAGCATCACCCCAAGCTCAGCAAGTGAGGAACCAGAGGAAAACGACTGTAGTTACGTGTATTTTTTATTATAATAATATTATTATTATTATTTTTTTTATTTTTATTAACATAGCTTGATCTCAGCCAGTTGGAAGTAATATATTAGCGTAGCACACAATCTTGTACAGCTAGTCAGCTATCTGTGTTCTGTAGCATCTGTGCTATGTTGCTAAAACTGTCTAACTGTAATTATATCCCACGGATGTGATCAGCTGAGAATCAGCTGATGCAAGCTTGACTCACGTGACCTGCCAGAACTAACGCTAACGCTTAATTTATGATTAGATGTTGTCATCGTAAAGCTGTGAAAATAAGTTATTAACCTATTTATAAAGATTAACTTAAAGTCACAACCATCAGTTAATTATTTAAACTCTGTTTATGAAGTATTTACATAGACGTTCAATGTGGAAGAGCTTAAAGAGAGCACACTAAGCTTAATTGGAGCAGCAACAATTTTTTATAAATTTAATGTAATATTTATTAAAATGACAAGGTTTTGCTAAATAAATAATCTAGGTCATGTATTAAGTTCATACATATTTTAATATGAACAACTATTATTAACAATATGAATGAAATTATACTTTTTCTTATTGATGTCACACTGAAGCTGTGTGATTTTCATAGTAGTGTACCCTTTAAGCTCACCTTACAATAATATGAAATCTTTAAAAATTACAGCAGTATAAAAC